AACAAAAAAAAAAAAAAAAAAAAAGAAGAAGCTGGTTTATAAAAGAGAAGGGCCTGATAGGGTAGAAGCCAGCAAAAGAAGTAGAGTTCAAAAAAGGGACATTTTAAACATAAGACAGACCTAAATATATTTAAATATTTTAAAAATTGAAATAGATGCAGAAGTTTGTAGTTTTTACTATAATCACAATCTTTCTTCTAAATACCTCCCTTCTTGCAAGAAGTCTGGAAGGCAAGCACTATCTGAAAATATGCTTGATGCTGAAATATTTTAAGCCATACCAACTTCACTGCAGACTTGACTTATCAACAGCTTCTCAAACAAGGGGCCTCTAATACCTGCTTTAAAAACTGCAGGGTGCCGTGGTTCATGCCTATAATCAAGCACTTGGGGAGGCCGAGGCAGAAGGCTTACTTGAGCCCAGGAGTTTGAGACCAGCCTGGGCAACATAGCGAGACCTTGTCTCTACAAAAAATTTAAAAGTTAGCTGGGCATGGTAGCATGTGCCTGTAGTCCTAGCTAGTGAGAAGGCTGAGGTGGAAGAGTGCCTGAGCCCAGGAGGTCAGGGCTGCAGTGATCCGTGATCATGCCACTGCACTCCAGCCTGGGTGACAGAGTAAGATCCTAACTCAAAAAACAAAACAAAACTCTGCTCTCCTATTCTTAGTACTTTACTTATGACCATACATAATAGAAAACTATTGATTTTTCTCATCTTTCAAACAGACTATAGTCTTCTTTTTATTTATTTATTTATTTATTTTTGAGTTGGAATCTCACTGGGCTCCAGCAATCCTTCCACCTCAGCCTTCCAAGTAGCCGAAACTACCGGCCCGCATTACCACACCTGGTTAATTTTTTTATTTATTGTAGAGACAAGCTCTCACCAAGGTGCCCAGGCTGGTCTCGAACCCATGGGCTCAGGCAATCCTCTCGCCTTGGCTTCCCAAAGTGCTGGGATTACAGGCTGAGTTACTGAGCGCGGCCAAATTTATTTTTTGATTTATTGTAGAGACAAGTTCTCGCCAAGTTGCCCAGGCTGGTCTCAAACCCCTGAGCTCAGACGATCCTCTCACTTCGGCTTCCCAAAGTGCTGGGATTACAGACTTGAGTCACAATGCCCAGCCCAGACTATATTCTTCTTAAAGGGGCCTTTCGAAACTATAGGTAGTTGCTAACTTACTATAAAAGTCCAGTGGAAACATGTAAGATGTTGCCTTCTTTCTCTCTTTCTATGTCAGCAGTAGAATCTCCATTGCTACTTCTGTGGGAGTGCTTTTTGTTATTGTTTTTGGAGAAGCTATGGTTTCAGAGATGGAAAACAGAAGAATCTGTCAAAGCAGTAAGTACATAGATGTCTGGCCCTAGGACTGACTCCAGGAAGGCTATCCTGCCTGCTCATGGGGCGATTTACTCAAAAATATCACCTCCGCTCTGCCTAAGATGTTCATGCCACTTTATTAAACTATTTGATATTTCCTCCAATTCATTTGGCAAATGATTCTAAGAACATTAAAGAGCTCTCAGCTATACTTGTATAGTCTAAACTGCTTTTCCCCCCACCACCTAGCTTCCATCCAACACACTGAGTTGGGAGCTTTGAAGAGGTAGCATTGGAAAGAGGACTCAAAAGCAAGAAAAATTTGGGCTATGAGGAACAAGGCAAGCCTGGACTAGATATTACAATGGAAAGATAAGGGAAGCATCAAAGTCCTATGTACCTGAAATCTTGGAAGAGGGAGGAGAGTTCAGATAAAAAGAATTCAGGAGATAAAAAAGCATCAGAGGTAAGTATCCTTTTTAAAGTGTCCTTCATGTTAATCCAGTGCCAGGAATGGCAGCTAAAGCTCTTTTTCTTTCTCTGGTATATTTCCAAAATTTAGAACTTAAGTGTATTAGTCAGGGTTCTCCAGAGAAATAGGACCAAGGAGATGTACATGTTTTTTCATACAAAAAGAGATTTGTTACAAGAAATCGTCTCACACAATGAAGGAGGCTGGTAAATCTCAAAATCTTCGGGGTGAGTCGAAAACCTGGAGGTCCAGGAGAGCTAATGGTATAGTTTCATCCAAAGGCCAGCAAGCTCACAACTCAGGATAAGTTGATGTTTCTTTTTTTTTTTTCTCTCTCTCTTTTTAGAGACGGGGTCTTGCTCTGTCTCCCAGGCCAGAGTGCAGTGGCACGATCCTAGCTCATTGCAACCCCTAATACCTGGGCTCAAGCAATCCTTCTGCTTCAGCCTCCAGAGTAGCTGGGATTACAGGTGAGAGGCACTGCACCTGGCCTGATGTTTCCATTTGAGTCTAAAGACAGGAAAAAGCCAATATCCCAGTTCAAAAGTAGTCAAATAGGGAGAATTTCTTTACTTAGGAGAGAATAAACCTTTTAGTTCTAGTCAGGCATTCAGCTGTTTGGATGAGGTTCACTCACACTGGGCTTATACTTTACTCAGTCTACTAATTTAAATGTTAATCTTGGCCAGGTTCGGTGGCTCACCCTGTAATCCCGCACTTTGGGAGGACAAGGTGAGTGGATTGCCTGAACCCGCGGGTTCGAGACCCGCCTTGGCAACTTGGCGAGACCTCATCTCTACAATAAATCAAAAAATTAGCCGGGCGTGGTGGCGCTTGCCTGTAGTTCCAGCTACTTGGAAGTCTGAGGCGGAAGGATCGCCAGAGCCCAGCAGGTCGAAGCTGCGGTGGCCGCTCTCGGCCACTGCACTCCAGTCTGGGCGACAGAGTGAGACTCCAACTCAAAAAGTAAATAAATAAATAGATAGATAAATGTTAATCTCATCCAAAAACAGCCTCACAGAAAGACACACACACACACACACACAAATATATAATATTTGTGAATAAGAAGCAGTGAATAAGTGTGAATAAGAAGCATAACCCATATATAATTCTGGGGAGATAGCATAAAGTACCATAAGGAGATCTAAAAAATGAGATGGCTGGGGTAAGGAGATGTAAAAGAAAATAGAATCTCGGAACCCCAAACACACTATGCCAAAGCGAAAGTTAAACTGGAGAACTGAGACAAAAATCAAAAACGAAAACCAAAAACTGCCTTCCCTTTGTTCCCAAACAGATGATAGAAGGTCATATATCTCCCCAGGTGGCCTCCCTCACAAATTGCTCACAGAGGAAGTTCTTGTGGGCCCTCAAATCTTTCAGAATACTTATATGCCCTGTGGACTAGCCCTCAAGCCAAGGTCTGTTAGATCGAACCCTGACAGTGTAAATTAAATTTCCCTTCCCAGGTATGCCCAAGGACAAGACTAGAAATCACCCCTCCACTCCACCTGAGAGAGGTGCATACTTGACTTCTTCCTCTACTCTGACAATGTATGGCTTCTTCCTCTACTCTATCTTTCCCACATGTTTACTTTATCATATGTAAAATGTAGATTTACTGAGGGCAAGAAAACACAACTGACTGCTTCTCTACCTTCTCTTTTCACATGTAAAATGTAAATTCATTGAATGCTAATCAATACCTTCATAAGAATGTAACCACTTTCTCATTGCCCATGCCCACACTTTTTTTCCTCCTTCCCCTCTGGCCTACTCTTTTCCCTTTAAATATTGAAGTCCTTGGCCGGGCTCGGTGGCTCAGCCTGTAATCCCAGCACTTTGGGAGGCCGAGGTGAGTCGATTGCCTGAGCC